GTTGCGAAAAACACTTGAATATTAGATGGTGTTGTGACCGGTTGAGCAGGAGCCTGAATTATTGATTTTAAAACTGAGATAAAGGATCAAAAAACAAAATGAAACAGGTAGCAAAGGAACAATACACACATACCTGATCTGTACCTTCTTGATTTTGCTCCCCTGCATTGTTGTTATTAACATTCGGCTGTGGAGGCTCAGCCATACGTGCTTGTCTATTGTAATTCCTTCTCAACTGGATAAAGAACATGAATAGAGCAATCGTGAGGACAACAAGGAAGCGTTCAAGCGATGAGTAGAGCATCACTGCCTAAATGACCATCTCTATATTTTTCCCTTTCATTTTCACATTCAGAGATCAAGCAAAAAACTTACCGAAAGCAGCAGAACCACTCTAAAAACTTTATAAATGATATCCAGTGCATCTCCTCTTCCTCCAGGGACTGCTTGAGCAAGGTTCGCTTCTGCTGGCATCTAAGAATAATAGCAGCATAAGCCACATTTGCAATTGTAAAACCTGAACATCCTACCTGTTCTCCTGCTCCCACGTTGCCATTCGCCTGATTAGGGACAACGTTTACAGGTGCCTGTTGACCATTATCCGTTGTGCCTGCTCCTGGAGAAGGAGTTGGCGTTTGCTGTGTCACAGAAGCTCCAAAAAGGACGGGGTTATATCCCATCTGACCCATCATAAAATTTTGGTATTGTTGCCACCTGGAATAAATATTTGAGTATTAGATTTCTAAGAAATATGAACCAACTTACTGATTCATATATGCTGCATAGTAGTTTGAATACTGCTGTAATCGCGCCAACTGTTCAGGACTAGATGAACCATAAAAATGTTGATACCATTCGTGATAACTCGTATTCAAAGGTGAAGAACTTGCAGTGTGCTCTGCTAAGTTTGGTGTTGTTGTAGGATATCTAAAAGTAAGTTTTTTCTTCAAGGTTTCCATAAAGAGAGTCGGGTGAATTAACACCAAGGCAATTGGACCCAACAATTCGTTGTTTTTTCTTTTGTATTCCCTAAAGTAAAGTCTTCCACAA